GGGGGGGGGGGGGGGGGGTCAGCAGGCAGAGCAGCATGGCCAGTCTGCTGCACAATGTTTGCAGTGTGCATGCCGCCCCCTTTTGGGCCAGGGCATCCCAGGTTGCTAAGAGCCGGATGGGGAGATGTGTATGGGCCATACATATCTCCCTGCCCAACTCTTAGCAACCTGGGATGCTCTAGTCGGCATCCCGTCCAGCTCTGGGCAACCAGTGATGTCAGGTTCCCAGGAGCTGGGTGGGACGCCGGCCAGAGTCAGAGCCGTAGCTGGGTGGGGAGATGATGCAGATTCTCCCCACCACCACCTTAGATCTAAAAGAGCAATTAATCATTGCAGTGAGGGGACAGCCCCACTGCAAGGGGAGTATTTTCCCAGAGATAGACTTTATTACGTTTTTCACACCCTCCTTGCACTATGCACGGTCTACATGAATAGCTTTGATTTGGTGCTACATTTACAGCCTGGAGACAGCATTACAATACTGCCAGAGATGTCAGCATGAGGCAGCCTATGTGAAGCATGTTCATTCACTGCAAATGTCTGTATAGACATCCATCGTAGAGACACTATAAGTTAACATGCTTGATTGTGTGTGGGCATGTGCCAGCATGCATTTTTATAATGATGCAGTTTTTAAACACACTTGGGGGTATTTATCAAAACTGGAATTTGGAGCAGTTGCCTATGGCAACCAGTCAGCTTCTCTCTTCAGTTTGTTCAGTTAAGGTTTGAAAATGAAAGGTAGAAGCTGATTGGTTGCCATGCACAGCTGCTCCAGAATTTGTCTGCCCCAGTTTTGATATATGCCCTTCATTGTGGTGTGTTAATGTGCTTTTTTTCCTGGGTTTAAGCACAAAGTCATGTGTTTGGCATATTGTGTATTACTATGCATTGTAATGCACTGTGATAAAATGCAACATCTTTTATTTTTTTTCCCAGTGTACACCAACACAGGGCATTGCTGTGAGCTGGAGCCACTGAATACAAAGCTATTTGCCTTGTCTTTGTATCAGTACTGCATTGCGCAACACAGCTCAGTTCAGGTAATGGAACAAGCCGTAATAGTTCTAATAAATAGAAAGCATAAATCCTAAGCACCCAGTCAACAAAAAACTATCACGGTGAAAACTACTCGAATGTGTGTTGCTAACATTTGAGATTCCTTCAATCAACTTTCATCTTCAAAATCTTTCGACATCTTGATTTCCAGTCCTTCGTACCAGACATTAAAGAATGGGTAGATTTTTTCTGTGAAGGCATCCTTAAATGTAAAAATATGTTTCATTGTGTCCACATTAAAAAATGATAGCTGGCCATTTTCATAGTCCAGGTAGACTCCCATCTTCCTTGCTCTGTCACGGATGGGCACATGGGTGCTATAAGGAGCAGTAAGAGCCTGATACTGATCTTGGCCTAGTCGCATGGCCCATATTCCTTCTTTAGGGGATAATCTGATCCAGCCCTTTTTTCTTACTGAACCTTTAGCAGCTCCTATATCCCAACCACCTCCTTGCAGCACCTCTGCTTCCCAATAATGCTTGCCTGAAGTGAACCCTTCTGCTCCCAGCACACATGGGTTGGTGCTAAACCTTTCAGGATAATCAGGCAGCTCTTGTTCAGTTTCTCCATGTTTTACATGTGTAAAATCATCAGTAATTACAAGCAAAGGGTGAGCTGTTCTTGGATCCAGTTTCACTAGGACTGTTAAAGGAGAAATATGGTAATCAACTTCAACAGATTGTCCAAATGCAGCAGTTACAGTATAACATGAGTTATGCTAAGAAAGTAAGTCTGAATATGACAAAATAATTTATAGGAGCCTTTGCTTGGGACTTTGATAAGCTTGGATGACAGCTGAGCTGCCTACAAGGTATAGGAATTGCAAAAATTTGAATGAATCATTAATCAACAAAGTCACATTTTATAGCCTATTGTACGGTATAAGTTAACCCGCACCACTGAGTATGTAAGGTTCCAGTGGCGTAACAATCGCCATAGTGACCCAGGCGCCCGACATGGGGCCCCGGCACAGGGGGCCCGGCCAGGGCCTCCCCCTGATGCTGTGTGGGCCGCCTGGGTCGCTATGGCATGTAAGTGTGCTGTCTGTCACTGACACAGCTCAGCAGCGGCGTTTCCCCTCACAGCCGCTGCGGAGTTGTGTCAGTGACAGCCAGCAGCTACGGCAGAAGAGGACAGAGTTCGCAGTGAAGGAGGAGCCGGGGCCTGCCTAAGTGCAACTCCGCCTCCTCTTACATCACTGCCCGGCGACCTAAGAGCAGGTGGGGCCAGTGATGTAAGAGGAGGCGGGCCCATCGATAGAAGAGGTTACGGGGCCCTGTGATTTCCAGTTACCTCCTTGCAAGGTACCACAACGGTTTTAAGAACTTGTATAAAGCTGCAAGTATAAAACACTTTCCTTCCTGTTATACACCATCAGCACCACTATAAATAATGCACAATCTTATTAAAGAAAACAAAAATATGTGGCTGAGTTACTGTTCCCAGTTGCTTCCACTTTGTTATAATACCACTAACAGTTGACCGTGGAATATTTAGTAGCAAGGAATTTCACAGAACACCTGAATCCAATGATTTGGAGGGGTGTCCCAATACTTTTGGTAATTTAGTGTATGTCAATGACAGGTGGTCATCACCCTCTTTATTTAGTCACGCAGTTAGGTCTTAGAATACTTCAGATCATTTTTTGATGAAGTACAGTTTAAAATGACTTCATGGCTTGGACAGGGCAGCAGCAGAAGACGTTAAATGTATCTTTAAATTTTTGTAACAGAAACATAACTCTACTGCCTTTATAAAAAGGAACAGATCGCAGAATAAATTTGGACTTTTCATGAGTATTAAACTATGTTCCTAAATGTAAGAAGAAATTTGGTTACAATAATGTTAATAAAACCCTGGCTCTGTTATAACATGCTGATTATGAATAAATCACACTGCAACACCTCTCCCCATCTTCTTTGGTTTTCCATGGACTAAGAGGTGGCAACTCTAGGACTAGTGGACAATGGCTGTCATTTCTGCACACTGAACTGGTCAAATCACTGAACATTCAGAGGAGCAAGGTCCATTCTTATTAGCTTGGGGTGTACAATTGGCATCCTCCTCTTGGGTGCCAGAGGACCTTGTCCCAGCTTTGCTGTAGGGGTCTATTTAAAAGGCTTTTCAACGTATTTTTTTTTTCATTTTTCAGGTATTTCCTTATTGTGACATAAAAAAAGAATCTGCTTTTTGATAAAGGTTTATGACATGAAAGTATGTAATATTGTAGACAATCTAGCAAAAAAAATGGGAACCTAGTTGATGTTTTTATAATTTTTTTAATGTCTACTCACTTTTGTAGTTGTACCGTTTTCTCCACTCTGAAATGAAAATGTTGGAAGGTAAATGAGCAGCCTATAAACTTCATGAATTTTAAATTAAAAAATTCCAGTCAATAATGTTGCTGTACTCACCAATCTCTGCAGAGAGGTCTTCTGTTAAGATACAAAGATGAGAATAATAAGTGATTCTTTACTTCACATAGTTTCAAAATAATAATCATAAATTACATAGTCATATTCAGTGCAATATCTATGGAATTTTATATATTAATGCATTTATTATGAGGATCAACAAATTGCTATTATGGACATATTTATTTGCTCAAAATCATATAACTACTCTTTCCCTTACTGGCTTTATCTTCTAGACTATAGTAATTCCTTGTTTTTGAAAGAGAACGTGCAGCATTCCTTTTCCTGGTCATTCACTCTTCACACTTACTTTCCATTTTGTTAATGCTCCATTCTCCTTTTACCCAATCACAAAAATAAACAAAATCTAAAAAATGTTTAAGCATGCTGCCTGATTTCTTTACTAGGTGAGAATGACATAGTCCCCAAGCTGCCTACAGCCTTCTTGGATACTCACGTTGTGCATCTCAAGAGGCTTCTATCCAATCAATACAAAATACGCATGCCCTGTGGAGTGTCATCAGGGGACCGGCTGCCTCGTCCTGGTTCTTACAGCTGGCCTTCTGATGATACATTGCAGCACATTTGCATCACTGGGGGGGTGTGGCTATCTCTTCCTGGTTCTTGCAGCTGGCCCCTGATGATGCATTACAGCACATGCATGTCATCAGGGGCCGGCTGCAAGTCCCAAAAAGATACACCCGGCTCCTGATAATGTTAGAAAGGAAGATTGAGGCATAGGACCAGCTGTGCAGCAACAGAGCACCAGAATCCTGCTGAATTGGGTAAGTATGGGAGTATGTTTATTGAGCATATACCTCCGAACCAAGTAAGAGAGGATAGAAATTTTTTTGACAGGAATACTAGATAAAAATAGAAGAAAGTTTCAGATAAATATGTATTCTTGTAAGCTGGAAAATATAAAGTATTTTTTAGGAATAGTTCATATTTACCACTTTGGGTAACTTGGCAGACATGCTCTAGAAATTAGCTACACCATCATTTTACTCTTTTGTGGTTGCTGCAATCAGTGTGAGGTCATACCCCAGTCGACCTCCACATGACTTATCTCTCATCCTTTGGACGTCATATATTTATTCTGTATTCCTGTACTACCCGCCTGACATGATCCCAGCTCCCCCACACAATTTAAAACGTGCTCACAATGTTCAGTGCACTTCACATGTGCACAATATTAGCAGCCATTCGGATTATACTAGGGATGCTTGTATCAGTAACCTCCTCTTACTTAGAGTCTTAGCTCGAGGGGAGTCGAAGTCGACTGATGATGCAACATGTTGAGAGGGACATGTTGGTGATGGCAATGCGCTGGGTGGAGCTAAGTCATTTAAGTGCTGACTGATTGGTTGGTGTAAAGTTTTATATATAATTTTATAGCGCAGGAGTTATATTTACGTATTTTTGTCATTACTTAAAGTAACTTTGTCATTACTTAAAGTATTACATGTATCAATTTTTCTTGGACAAACATGGATTTCTTTTGTTAATCGTGTCTTGCAAAAATTATTTCATTCTCTATGCAATCTATAAACCAAGAGACATAACAACGCCTAAAAATGAATTTTTTTTTACGTTTAGTGTTTGTTTTAAAACAGATAGTCATACTGTAGATAATAAGTGTACATTTTATTCTATAATTTGTCCTACTTATAAGAATAATGATAAAAAAGTATGATTCTTGTACAAAGCAATGCAAAGTTATTTGCAAATAAAAAAAATACTTTCCCCTTGATTTTGCTATTTTTGTAATGGGGTGTAAAGATAATTAACAAATAAAAATGAAAAGAATGGAAAAAAGTATAAACATACATAGTTAAAAAAATAAAATTAATATAAAAATTAAAAACAATTATAGCTTAGGGGAGAAAGAGGAGTTAATTAGAACTGATTAAAGGGTCAACTAAGGGTTAATAAAAAATAATAATACATGTATTTTACTAGTTGAATCTCGTTAATCATGAGCAGAATCAGAAAACACCTCTTTGATCTTCAGTCGAATGAAACTGAGAAAATTCAATGTAACAATAATGTAGTTACATTGTATTTTTGAATAAAGCTCCTGAACAGCTCCGCTTTACATAGCAATCATTGAGAGCAAGTATCAGCTGTCATTTTGATAGCTGTTCTTTGCCAGCAAGAGTGGTGGAGCAACAGCAGTGGCAAAGGGACGCATGCGATGTATGTTCTGTATACTTCATTTAAGTTTTTCATGGAATATATTGCACACCCAAAGTACACAAGTGGTTAAATATACAACACTTTTAAACCACTTGGGTTTTCGTTGGCTAAATACATATATATATACAATGAAGAATAATGAAAGAGAACCACAGGGAAAAAGAAATGACTATTCAAGGGAAGGGGAGTAGGCTTGTGGCAGTGGTGCAATAGAAATACATTATTTTACTACCACACTAGTGTTGACTACATGGGGGTCAGATTTACACAAAAGTACTTATGTAAAAGTACTTAACTGCAGTGAAAGTTATATTTAAGTTTGAGTTGGTACAATATATCTTACCTATATTTTTCAAAAGGGAATCTGCAAAAAATCAGATGCAAACACAAAAGATTATTGAAGCTATTCCATTTCATTGTGCCTAATCAATGGCAAATCAATGTCTGTATAAATCAGTAAAACTGGCAATGTCTTATATATTTCAGAATGGAATTAGTTCAATATTATTATACATTATAAAATGTAACTGTGGTAACTGATTTATCAATTACAATGACAAGCAATCACAAAGCAAATAATGTTCTTAAAGTAATGGTTTTAAAGTATCCCAAGGTGATGTATAATTGTATAATTCATTATGATATTTAGAGGGTTATTCACGAAGGAGCCAAAGGATCCAGCCATAGCTTCGGCTGATCCTTCGTCTCACTTCGGCTGCCGGAGCCCTTCGGTCGAACCACACAGTCGAGGGACTCAGTGGGGTTGATTTACTAACCTTATAAACACACCACAAACATGTATACACCTCGGTAGTGTGTTCCCTCCCAGCATGATCTATGGGTGGAATCTAAACACCTTTGTAGTGTGCACACACCCAGCAGGTGTGTTGTGCAAAGCCAACCATGAATTGCAAGGTGATGTTGTGTAAATTAGCTCTATGTTGTGTTGCTTGCGTTGATGAATGCAGGAATGTAAATGCATGAGCTAACCATTTTTGTCTAAACTGTGAAGCAGCATTATATATGCATCATGTGCATGATTTTTCCATATATGGCATATATGTGGAAATATGCTTTTAGTGACTTTTTGGTTGATAAATAAGTTTTGCTGTGTGAAAATCACACGCACCTGGTGCGTGCGTGTGTTTAGGTTAGTAAATCACCCCCAGTGACTCAGATTGCTCATACCAGGGCACAGGATTCCAAACCCGGACTATCCGGGTGAATACCGGATGGGTGGCAACCCTAGTTTCCATGGACCTGTTTTCAAAACTAGAACAGGCAGACCGCAAGACTCTGAATTAATTATGCAGTTGAATTTGGCAATTGCATAGTTAGGCTTTACATTTAAATTTGTAACATATACAAAAACACTTAAACTTGCCTTTTTCCTCCAGTAAGTTTTCTGAAAAATAAAATATAAAATATCAGAACAATAAGGCAACTCCAGTCACAATAAACAACACTGGTGTGAGCTGCAACTCTCATTCTCAGCAAAGTACCAGAACTGCAACAGGAGCAACACTGTACAAATTGCTGCTGCTCTACTCTTCCTATTTGTAGCACATTTAGAACCTGGAAGCAGCTTGGAATGGTTATAAATTAACATAATCAAAATGCTTTGCTCTAACATTTAACTAAGGCATTCATTTTCATTTTATAAATCTTAGCTATGTCAGGACACAATTTTTTAAAATAATTTGCAAATATTACAGCACTGATCCATAAAATACAATCCTACTTTATAATTATTATATGAATTAATTGTTTATCTATATAAAAAATTGGATGAATATATTTATATGGCATACATCTACTGTTTTTCATTTTTATATTCCTATGTACACAAATTTGTTTTATTATTATTAATTAATTATGAATACAACATTACTCTTTTAATAATCAGTAACAATTTCTAATCATCAATTCTTTATAAATATAAAATAGGTTTAATATACTATATTTGTGTTATATAAACCACATATTTGTCATGGTTGTCATGGTTATTTACCCAAGGTAATCCATTGCAGCCTGCATTTCTCTCTTATGATAGGTGTACACGAATGTACTCTTTCAGGTTTGGCTATCAGAGAACGCTAGGCAGATAAAACAATAGGTTCAAATTATATAATAATATATTTAAATAAAAAAGGAACCGATTTACCTTTTTCTTGTGATACTTCTCCTGTTGCAAAAAAGAAGTTGTTACTATCAATCTAACTCCATGCAATTATCTCTACCAATTCAAATATCTATATATATAATTAAATGTATTCACAACACTCCATCACTGAATATATGTAGTGGAATTGGCCTCAATATTCTTAGAGTTGAACTCTAAGCAGGGCTTAGTAACATATATCTAAGTTGCTGTCAGGGATCTGAACACCTCCAGGTGGCACTGGAGGTAATCCGGCAGTTCCAGTGCTCCCCTGCAGGTGTCTCCAGGCAGCCAGTGGCTGTCAGGGACCTGAGCGCCTCCAGGTGGCACTGCAACTCTGGAACCAGGTCCTGCACTTCCAGGGCTCACCTGCAGGTGTCCGCAATAAGGCACTGCCTGATGCTGATCTGGGAGGGTATTTAATCCCTCCCTGCAGTGAGCCTGGGGCCACAATATTGTCGCCATTACCCGAGTCCTAAATCCTGAGTTCTTAGTCCTGAGTCCTGGTGCCTCCTTGTACCCTGACCATTGGTTCGTGGCTCCCATTGTGTGGCCTTGCTTCCCAGGTCCCCTTGCCCTGTTACCTTTTGTGTGTAATTATGTTGTTTCACATTTTAGTTGGCTATTATTAGTTGCGTGTGGTTACTTGTTTTCAGTGTATGGAATAAACTATATACTCATAAGCATTGTCTGGTTGTGGTCACACATTTGGTCCTCCCGCATAGATACCTGTATGCGGTGTGGGGACACCCGTGCACGGTATCCTGACAGCTGCATTCTTCATTTGACAATTTGACATCTTTATTATGCAGATACGATACAGCAGTTGTTCTAGTTAAAGTGTATGTGAACCCAAACAATTAACTTTTTTATTTGTCCCCTCTTGGTTTTATATAGTTATATATGATAATGCAGGACTAAAATCTCAAACATAGTTATCAGCTCAATGCAGTATACCTCACTTCCCCCATGTTATGGAGTTGAGCAAAGAGGAAGATGTTCCTAAAACATATTTCGAAATAGAATTTAGGGACTTCAAAACTGGTTTGATTTTTTTTTAGTGGAAAAAAACAACCTTTTCTTACTGCTAAATATATTAGAAATTTGTTGCAAAAATTAATTAGGTTTTGTATTTTAGATTTTCCTTAACACTCACCTAAATTTGCTGTTAGCGATTCTGTAAATGGAAAAAAACACAGATTGTCATGCCTGTCAGGTGCATCCCAATACCTCTTAAAATGTAGTTACATAAAGACAGAAAAAAAATTACATATTTTAGAAGTATCTTTAGAAGCATCGTTTTAGTTAAAACCACCCTGTCATGTTTCAAAAATCTTAAATCCAATAACCTGCAATAGAAGAGGTATACTCATCTCTCCAGTGGCACATGTCTCCTTCGTTCCCTCCATCCCAACGCTGCAGTCTCTGTCTGTTTTCAGCATTCAACACTGTTCGAATCCTATTTTACTGCTGCATCCTGTAGTCTCGTAAGGGTTGGAGGATGCAACCATGTTGCACAGCGGGGGGTGAGGCTTGAATGCCAAAGATATTAATGGAGGCTGCAGTGCTGGAAGAAAGGGAAGGCAGGAGACGTGCCTTTAAAGAGGAGGGTAATACTATATTCTATTACAGGACCCTGGATGTAGGATTTTTAAAAGCTAGGCAGGGTCGGTTGAATAAAGCTTGCATTTCTAGATTACATTTTATGTAAACAATGCTCTCAAAATAACATGCAAAAGGTGGTGTTTACTGCTGCTCTATGTTTTCCCTAACAATTTAAGATATTTAAACACATATACTGTACGTTGTAAGGAAATATTTCAGATGGAATTAACTTACTGTTTTCTTGCAAAAAATGTTCTGCAAAAAATTAGATGTATGTTATCCAGGAAAATACATGAATGAAAACACAAAATTGTAAAAAACAAGAAATGGCAACAGTTTTGCAGAAAAAATTAAACATTATGATCTTCAGAAGGGAAACATCAGCTAATCTGAACTTTTATTCTTCACCACAGTGAAAGTCTTATGACCTATTACCTAATCTTTTTATTATGTGAACAGCATTAGAAGGAAAGTGCAGTTGAGTAGGGATGCACAGATACCAGTTCAGATACCAGTGCTGATACTTGACATTTTCACGAAAACCACCACTGTTGCAGAGTTTGCAGCTGTGTCTGGGCCCTGGCCCTCCACCACTGTCCTGAAATCATTAGTCTGTATTGTTTTAGAAAAACTATAAAAAATAATTTTAAAAAAGTATCAGTGATTCATCTCTGTGAGTACTTGGACAAGTATCAGTACTTGTACTTGGTCTGGAAAAATGGTATTGGTGCATCCCTAATGCACTGTGGCTATATATATAGTGCAATATAAATGGGTAAGCCATATTAGTCCAGTAGACAAGACGTAAAAAAAAAAACGTATTGCAGTGTGCAATGATACCTTTCTTATTGGACTAACAAAATATATAAAAGACAAGCTTTCGAGAGTAAACCTCTCTTCTTCAGGTCAGAAGCAATACTAAGCAACATGACAGTTTGTCAGTTAAGACAGGAGAAAGCTGTTAGAGGGGGGGAAGGAGGGAGGGGTGTCATAAATGTTGGACCTGGGAGTAAAAAATGCCTCCTGATAATCAAAAGACAGAACAAATAAACATAGGATGACAAATATATATGCATCACTTCTCCAAGAAGGATCACTCCATCCAAAACCTCAATATTAAAGTGCTAAAAGGGAATTTAAAAACTCTCATGAAAGGAAAACATTTGAGATGAAAATGATTTTACATTTCAACACCATAAAGGAGGGACTTAATGTGGATTCTGGTTTTCTGACACACTACCAGAACTTTTTATGAATCTACAGAACATCCCAATAGTCATGTATGTTGTATATCTCTGATCTGTTTAGGGTTTGTTTGTCATCCTACATTTATTTTTTCTGTCTTTTGATTATCAGGAGGCATTTTTTACTCCCAGGTCCAACATTTATGACACCCCACTAACCCCCCCCTCCTCTAACAGCTTTCTCCTGTCTTAACTGACAAACTGTCATGTTGCTTAGTATTGCTTCTGACCTGAAGAAGAGAGGTTCACTCTCGAAAGCTTGTCTTTTATATATATTGTTAGTCCAATAAGAA